AGCAGGAAAAAAAAAGGGGGGGGGGGAGGGGGTTAATCTACTGACTTGAGTGATTGATCCCAATTACCAAGGCGGGGAGGGGGGTAGGTTACTGCAACACAATGGGGGCCAGGAGGACTATGGTGCCCAGGGGCACCTGGGCAACTGGGGCATCTCTTAATACTTTCATGACCAGTTAATGAAAAACAACAACCACAAAATACAAATAAAAAAATACAGCAAGACTATTGAAGACTCAGGTCCTTCAGAAATGAAGGGTTTGGTCACTCGACCCACTAAGGTACCCAGAGCAGGTTCTATCTGAGGGCAAAGGAGCTAAAGAATGGACAGCTGATGAAGGAAGCCATGATGTTACCTACAACCTCATCTCACTACCAGTTACAGAAATGAGGGCTGTAGCCGCTTGGTATATTTTTTTGCTTGTTATATGCATGTGTTTTTTTCCTAACCATTTTCCTCTCTCCTCCCAATTTTTATTTTATAAACAAGTTGTTGAAGGTTAGCATTTTGGTTTAATCTTTAGGTGACTGAATTTTCAGGGGAACCATGACTGAATTTGAGGACCAAGTATAGAGATGGGTGTCGTGACTGTTGGGTCTGTGCATCTTCTCATTTGAGGGAGAACTTCACTTGTCACAGATGGCTGTGTCTTTTTAGGGAGAAATAGAATTATTTAGTTATTGTAAGGGAGTCCACATGTGTGTGAAATTTTGCTGATGGACACTGAGTAGCCAAAGAGTGGCCTGGGCTGTTATGGGTGTATTACCTCTCGGGTCTGAGTCTCTGCTGCAGCACCTGCACAGCATTCATAGACTAGACTCTCTGATTGGGGCTCCTTACAGTGAGCGTGATGTGAAGTTTTGTAGTGAGGGCGTTAGAAGGGGGAAGGGGCTTCCTTCTATGTTTTGCTTTGTCTCACTCCTTCACAGTCCTTCACAGCACCTGGTGGTGCTCTGCCCCAGCCACATGTCCAGAGAGGGCAGCCCTTGGAGACCTGGCAGCCTGGCCTGGGCCCAGTGGCCCTTTCTCCCTGGTTCTTCTGATATGGACACAGCACAGTCCAGAACTTGCACTCACATCAGCTCCCCACTCTCTCTGCATGTCCATCCTCCAGCCTCAGCATCCCTGTGCCCTGGAGGTTGTTTCTCATGACTTTCCTGGTGTGGTCACTGCAAGGCCAGGCTCACATTCACACTGGCACCCCAGCCCCCTCTGTGCACCCAGCCCCTGCCTTGGCTCACCTGTGCTCTCTGGGGTTGAGTCAAGAGCTGTAAAGGGCTGCACTTACACCTGCTTCAAGCTAACCAGTTGGCATGTTCTTGTTTTCCAGATGCTGGCAGGAGGCACGAGGTTCCTGGGTCAGAGTTCACTCACAGAAGAACCAGTAGCCAGAGCTCCCTGTTGGCCTTGGTTCCCCTAGTCCAGTGATGGCGAACCTTTTGAGCTCGGCGTGTCAGCATTTTGAAAAACCCTAACTTAACTCTGGTGCCGTGTCACATAGAGAAATTTTTTGATATTTGCAACCATAGTAAAACAAAGACTTATATTTTTGATATTTATTTTATATATTTAAATGCCATTTAACAAAGAAAAATCAACCAAAAAAAATGAGTTCGCGTGTCACCTCTGACAAGCGTGTCATAGGTTCGCCATCACTGCCTTAGACAGTGGTTCTCAACCTTCTGGCCCTTTAAATACAGTTCCTCATGTTGTGACCCAACCATAAAATTATTTTCGTTGCTACTTCATAACTGTAATGTTGCTACTGTTATGAATCGTAATGTAAATATCTGATATGCAGGATGGTCTTAGGCGACCCCTGTGAAAGGGTCGTTCGAACACCAAAGGGGTCGCGACCCACAGGTTGAGAACCGCTACTCTAGGGTGTCACAGCGGACTTGAGTGTAGTCTTCTGCTTCTCAGGGAAGGTCATCTGGAGTTCAGGCCCAGCTCCCTTTGTGAGCCAATGATCACAGGAAGGAAGCAGCTGTGTTCTTAGCACAACACAGTCTGGGTCACTGTCCTTAGGAAATAGCATCAAAACTATGTGAATAGGTCATTCACAACAACACGGATGGACCTAGAGGGTATCATGCTGAGCGAAATGAGTCAGACAGAGAAAG